AGGTGCATCCCTGCACCCCCTGACCTCCATGGGCTGCAGAGGCACAGCTGTCTCACCATGGGCTGCAGGGCCTGGAGCACCCCCTGTCCAGCTTCTGCAGGGACCTTGGTGTGTACAGAGCTGCTCCTCTCACATATTCTCACTCTGTTCTTCTGTGGTCACTATTACAATGATGCAAAACTTCTTTTTCTTCTCAAACCTCTTATCACAGAGGCATTACCACCATTTCAAATTGCCTCAGCCTTGGCCAGCTGCACTCTCATCCTTTGGAGCTTCCAGAGCTCTGGTGGACATGGAGGAGGCTTCTGGCAGCTTCTCACAGAAGCCACCCCTGTAGCACCCCCACTACTAAAGTTTGGCCATGCAAACCCAATGCAGCCCAGAAAAAAAAAAAAAAAAGTAAGAGCAGAGTTACAGGGAGACAGAAGACTCTTTTGGGTGGCTGGCTACAATTTTCAGACAAATACGATAAAAAATAGAGTATAAAGTCATGTACCAAAAAAGCGCAAGAGTCTTTGATTCTGATACTTTTTCCTATGAACAGCAGTATTACACATCACAAAAAAATCCGTTACAAAACAATATTCCACTCAAACTGGGAGACAAAACTCTAAGTAGAGAGCACTGAGGACAATATCCAAATTAAAATTTGCTCCATAATATAGTTCCACATAGCTGGGTTTGAAATTTTCTACTGTTTCAAGAGCATCAACTCAGGATGAGAAACAGTTCCAGCAGCTGACATTAACTGCTCTACAAATCAAGAGTTTTGCAAGTGTACTCGAATCCTGACAATCTGTGACTTAAAATCTGACTGATCAGCAATGGAAGAACATGCAGAGGAGATAAGTACTCTGCTGATGGAGCTCTGGAAAGAATACAGGGAGTGACCACAGCTGCTTTAAAGGAAGCTGAAGTAATCTCAGCACAGGAAGGGGCTCTGCGTGGCCTCTGTTTCTCACAAAAGGCTGCACCATTTGAGGGAATCAGCTGGTTGTGTAAGTGGCCTTAGCTAAGCATGAACGTGGAACGCATTTCTGTGCTACCCAGAGAAGCATGGCTTGAGCCAGCACACAGCATAAAAAAAAGCAAACAGCAAAATGAACTTTCAACACAGCAACAGACTTGAGCTGGCTTTAACCCACACACACTGTGTCAGCAGGTGGGGACAGCTCATGCCGTGGTAGTTCATGACAGTTCCTATACAGAGACTGGCAGCAGGAGTCACAGCTGCACTGCAATCTGTGTACTGCAGACCTTCTGTGGTTTGACATTTTGCTGTAACGTTCACCTAAGTCCTGCTCAGACTTTGGCTAACTCACAGCTCATGCTAAGGCCTGGTGTATCCTAGGAGTGTGCCATGAGGTCAAGGCAAGATATGATGGACAGAAGGGCTAAAGGTCATTATGCAGCTGTCATCACCTACCACTCTCTATCTCCTGCAGCCGTAATCCTTCCACACAGATTGTCTAGCAGCTGCTTTAGAATCTAAAAACCTAAAGAAATAGTATTGACCAAACTTCCGAGTTGGAAAGTACAAGTATGTCACTTGTTCCTCTAAACAGCAGACAAAGCCATCCACAAGGGTTATAAAAGTGAAAACAAAAAGATAGCTAAATATTTTAAAAATTAAATAGAATGATAAAGAATAAAAGTTAGTTTAAAGTCAGTTTTGCCTGATTATGCTTAGCTTCCAAGAAAAGAAATAATGCAGGTGTATTTGTTTACAATTTCTTCTGAAGCAAAATTAACAGCAAAGCAAAATTCCCAGTCTAAATGCTAGTGACAGAAGCAAACAAGACAATTAAAATTATCCATGTTACTAATGCATCACAAGACCCTAAGTTTAGTGTCTTGTGATGTATTAGTAACATGGATAAATAAAATACCAAGAAATAAATTAAAATTAGAATAACAGGATTGAATTAAAAAAGTAAGAATGACATTCATGCAGTGACATGATTAGTCATTACACAAAGCCCTTTTAAGGTAATCCTCTCTTTCATTGAATCATTGTTTCTATGTTTCTAAATTTCTCTATCACAGCCCTATCAGCTTGAGCAAAACCAGCTGTGACACATCAAATGTCAATCAAGTATACTGTAAGTAAGGGTATCCCTTTTTCTGTTATTACACCAACCATCTTTAAACATCAGCCCCACAAAACACAAAGAACTGCCAGCACATCAACACTGTCATCTGAAAGTGATGCCCGAGAGAGAACCCTTCAGGGAATATGCCTTCCTACATTTCTTGTTGTGCAAAATGCAAATGTACTACAAATGACATACATGTATTTTTCAAACTAAAGCTATTAAAAAATATGAGTCATCAAAGTTGTATCATTGTTCTTGTAAGCTCAACACATGGCCTTGGGCATACTACCTGGAGTATTATGGTGAGTGGCATAACCTGTTAACCTGTAAATTCTTTCAGATGGTCTCTTTTCCAAGGCAGGTTCAGGAAACTTTGAGACACACTGCTCAAACTTCGGAGTCACTACAGTATAACGAAACAGCTCTTCATATTCATCCTGTTGCAAAGTGGTGACAAAGAATTATAAAACTATAATTACATTTTTAAAAATTAGGCATATGTAAAAAGAAGTCCATATTGTTTTCTATAATTTTGAGAGGTTTCTTTTTAATTACTATGGTGTAACAGAGAGGATTTCCCTTAAAGCTGCAAAAGTGAGCTGTTTTCCCACAATGATTATAATAATTTAACTTTCGTTTGTTTAATGTTCACATTCCTTCTGATTACAACTAAATGCACTGCAATAGCTGCACAGAAAGACTCTGTGAGATTCCAGCATTGGATACTACAATAGGCAACTAAAACAGGAACTGGAAAAAAACTCCAGTCCCAGATCATCTAAGTTATTAATCGGCCCTTATAATTTCTAATGATTACTAGTAGTGCTTCAAAAAAAACCATGTATTTTTATAGCCATGACAAAGATGCTACTGAACACAGTCACACTTCACACTCTGTAACATTGCAATTTCTCTGGTGGAAGTTGTAAAGCCAATCATCAAAATTGATTTGATTATACACAAGTTTTTTTTAGAGAGGATATAATTATTCTCACCTTATTTATTTTTAAAATTATACAGGTATACGGAATGTGTATATATAACTTAGAAAGAAGCTTTCCTATTAAGAAGCTAAAAACCTATCTAACTGGTATGTGGCATTATGCTATACACCTAAGTAAGCCAATTAATATTTTTTGAAACCTCCTAATGAAAGAGATTTTCAGGATGAAGATATTCAGTGTTCACTGTGAAACCGTAAACAATCTGTATTATAACTTAAACATGCAATCTAGTAATTAATGAAACAAGTACCACTATTAGTTACTTACTACAACAAATCTACTAATTAAAGCTTTGGAAAACAATGCCCATTGGAAAACACTTTACCAGGTCACTAGCACTTATTTTTACTTCACTTAGTATTATCACATTAGTTCTGTTATTAGTTCTGTTATATCACATTAGAATCCTAATGAGGTCAAACCTCAAAAACCAAGTGTGAATTCAAAAATTAATTTCCTCTTAAACCTGGGGGAAGTTAGAGGGAAAACAATCAATGAAAGGTATCAATTACATGCAATATGTTTTTGAATCTAACAACTGAAAAGGATAATACTTCAAACTCTCAGTGTAACTTGTATATTTTTGTGTTTCAACTAATTAGAGAATTTAAGAAGCTAGGTTTGGTACATTTAATCTGCATTCTAGTTTCCATTTAAATGTCCATTTCCCATCTTCTCATCTATCATGTTCAAAGTAGAAGCCTAAATAAATGTATACAAAGCTACAGAATTACAAATACATGATGTATCTTTTGGACACGCAAGTGTGTCACAATCCATGTAAAAGGTATAATTAGCTGCAAATCAACAAGTTACTAATTTTTCTACAGACATCTTTCTAAATGTATACAGTTTAAATTTAATAAGATATCAAAAGAAGAAAACAGATATCTTTAGATCTGTTACTCAATCAGGAACTGCATGGAACCATACAAAACTCCCTGCAGCAAAATCTCATCTGAGTAAAAAAGCCAATAAAGCCTTAACTAATAAAAATAAAATGATTCTGCAGATGTTAGATCACACCTCTGTCTTCTTCTAAGAGATCATGCAACCAAATAGCAACTTAAAACTAATTCTTCCCAACAAACAAGATAGTTCTCAGACAGAGCTGATCCAGCTGCTTCCATGATCAATTCAAAGGACCTAGTAGGTTAGATGTCAGATGCAAGTGGGTGTCTCACGTTGAGTCACCCAATTTATTCACTATCACACAATATGTCCTACTATAGACATGCTTAGCATTCAAAATATGGGTATCAAGTTATGTCAGGAGATTTTTTTCAAGTTCTAATTCTTTTATTAATACTCAAAGAATCCAATCTGTACAGGAATACGCACTCTTACGCGCCAACAGAAAGTGTCAATAAACAGCATCCAGTGACAAATCTGGAAATAAATGTTTATAAATTACAATATTACAACACTGTTGAAATGAAGTTGAAAGGCAAATATTAAAGAAAGCACAGTATCCCAGTTGTAATCAGAAACTTAAGACACACAAAAAAGAATCCTGGAGTCAGCAATGGGAATATGTATGGAAACACTGAGTGATTAAGTGTATTACCTCAGTCTTAAATGCTCCATAACAAGTATGCTGCAACTGGAATGCAATATTGACCAGTACATTTAAAATAAAACCATAATAAAATTAAACACATATCTTTGGTTTATTATTGTGGTTCTGCTTTTAACAGAACTTTCAAGCTGTTCTGTCAACTGCTAGTAATTCTGTTAATGTATGAAACTACAGGAATGTAATTCTATGACCTGAAGGTCTGTGGAGTTTTGACTATTTAATGCCTTGATTTTGTAGAAGAAGATGTAGTGATGCAGTGAACAAATGGCACAAAAAACCCAACCAGATGTTTTTTAATAATTTTTTTCTATTTTTTAAATTAAAATCTACAGATACTGCAAAGGATTGTAGTCAAGGTTACCAGACAATATGACAAGAACAGATTGAATGGATAAAGTCTTGCATAACAATTATAAGTAATGGACATTCTCTAAGAGCCAGTGGATTTCTTTGTCATGAAAATGTAATAAGCTGGCCTCTACTTAAAAGCAACATGTTATCAAAAAGGCCCAAACAAACAAAACAGAACAGACCTTTCAAAATTATCTAAATGGAGTATTGTAGTTCCCTGTCAACATTCCTATTCATCAGCTGTGACCTCAGTGCTGTTCTTTTCCAACAGTAACCAACTCCTACCAGGGGTAGCTTTGGGCTTGTCTAGTTTGGAGAAAAGGAGGCTAAGGGGCCTTGTTGCTCTGTTCAGCTTCCTGAGCAGGGGAAGTGAGAAGAGATTCCCTGGGAGATGATCCCATCTCGTCTCCCTAGGACCCAGTGATGGAATGAGTGGGAATGGTTCAAAATTGTGTTGGGGAGGATCAGATTTGACATTAGGAAGCATTTCTTTACAGAGAGGGCAATCAAACACTGGACTGGGCTTCCCCTCGAGGGAGAGTGTTGGATGCCAGGAGCCTGTCACTGTTTAAGAGGCATTTGCACAATGCCCTGTAATAACATGCTTTAACTTTTGCTCAGCCACAAAATGGTCAGGCAGTTTGGCCAACAATTGATATGGAACACTTCCAGCTGAGCTATTCTTCTCTAGACATGTTCTCATTCACAAAACAGTCACTCATCAGTATAAGTTTATCGTTATCTACCAGGTGGCCTTAGAGCCTCCTTGATAATCACAACCAGGTCATAACAGAAATTTCTGGTCCTTCAAAATTTGTAGCATGATGCTTTTATCTTGTTCTCTGACTACAAAAAGCATTGGAAACACACATGCATAACTATTGCTAAACAAAGATTATGAAAACTTATCCATGAGATACAAGCACAAATAGAGATGTACATGAACTGCGGAAATTAATTGCCCCATAGAAAGTTGTTTTAAAGGTACAAGTCAATCCAAATTGTAAAAAAAGAAAGAAGAAAACCCCTTAATTAAACAGTGTTGCTACTGTATATGCCCATTTCACTACGTGAAAAATGTGGAGATGCACTTCTACAGGGCAACTAGCAAAATATGTTATTGCCAAAACCGTCCTGGTTTGGACTGTATCCTACTGAAGGAAAAAAATCACACAATCTACTATGCAAATAGGAATAAACAATTATTAAATTATGAAAATCTGCGGCTTTCAAAAGAATGGTACAAAGACTTTATCCAGTATCATTGCATCCTCTTGTAAGCATCACGAGCACAGAAAAGGCAACCCCCAGTATTATAGTTATAGAATGTCCTAATGTACTTGATGCAGCAAGTAAAAAAAAACAAACCAAAAAGCAATAATTTCCTTTCTGTGATTAACTTGGCCATAATACTACTCCAAGGAAAATAAATCCATTTTAAAAAATTCAGTTTTTACAAAACTGAATCATGGGGAAAGCCTAAAATATAGTTACTCTTCATCTCTCAAAAGTCATGAGTTTCTATCCCACTGTGTCAAATTCTGGCTTCTTGATAAGACTTAACACAAATAAAGAAAAACACTAGGAAAAAAAGCTGAGAAAACTACCTATTTTACTTGCAGCAGATTGAAGTCTAAAGTTTAGGCAAGAATTTTTACATAAAGTTCTTGTGAAATGCACAGAAATGGAATCTAACTGAACATACTTTAGTATCAGTATTTTTTGCAGTCTACTTTGTTTCTTTTCACTAATATTTTTATTATTTTCCTATGTACGTAAAATAGAAAAATGATGAACATTTAGTTAGATTTCCTCACAGTTATCCTCTACCAATAAAATGCCATGACAGTAAATCAAATTATATTGCCTCTGTCCTACCTGAGGATCGGAAGAAACAGAACTGTCCTGAACAAAGTCATTTGGGAAAACTGGACTTGTGTTTTTCTCCTCATCAGATGACATTCTGCACAAAGTAAGTCTATAAAACAGTAGAAGCTGAACTTCATTTTTCAGTTTCAGTACATAAATATATATTCACCAACATTTTCCCCAGAAACAGATCCTGCTGTTACAACTGGATCAATGCCCATTCTGTGCATTAAACTGATTGAATAGTCTCATTATATAATGCTGGAAATGCTCTGATCCAAACCATACTCAATGTAAATATTTTCACTAACTTATAAGAAAACAAGAAAAGACCCCAAAGCAACAATGTCAGTTGTTGCAGTTACAGATATACTCCTGTGTCATTTTTATTCACACTGTACTGCCTTTTAGCTTATCAGGCTGTTTCAGTACAAAATTCCTACAGAGCAACATAAGAATGTACAAGCTACACTGTGCCCACCCACTGTGTTACCTCAGCCACAGCCCAAGATAAGATAGTGCCCTGAACACTCCTGTTCAATAAATACCCCGGATCTCACTGGTCAACATCAGTCTCCCATCACTATTTTGAGTTTCAGGCCCAGGAACATGAACAGCTATGGAAGGACAAGTAACACCTTAGGTTCAATAAATACCAATCATTCCAGCAATTTCTTAGCAAGACAGTGAGGCATTCTTTGCATATTTGGGAAGTAGGCAATGTTGAAGAATTGATAATAAGCTTGAAGACCTTGTGAAAGATACATGTATCTTTTAATCTAATACAGCCTCATATAGGTCTTTCAGTGAAGAACTGAAGCTCTTGTGATAAGATTTGACAGAATAAAGGGAAAAGGACTCTAAAGAATATGGCAGACGAGGGAAAGATGAATTACAAAATGAGGGGAAACTGAGTATAAAGCAGGGTGAATTTTTTATTGAATGAATGGCAAAGTGATATAGGTGCCTGATGCACACGAAAGACAGTCAGACACATTGACTAAGGAGTTGTTAGGAGAGAAGGCATACCACCATAAATAACCAGAGGAACTGACTGATTGTACAGTGTAGCAAACAACTTGCAAGGAAAAATTATTTTCAGAGAGATCTTTACAACTGTCAATTATAATATTCTTGTTTTTTAAACAGATGCATTTTCTGACAGAAATGTAAATTTTAAATTGCTAGTTGTACCGTCATAAAACTGGCAGGAATATCCTACTTAAACACCATCAATGTTTCTCAAAGTATCAAACCCCCCACATAGTTCTCTATATAGGAATACAAATAGAAATTAATTATCCTTTTGCTCTTTGAGCTGTTCAATACACTAATTCTTTCTGCACCACAAAAGATCTCTCTGCCATGGATATTTTTACACCTTTCAGAATGACAAGCTCATTTCTGTGCTGATGATGGATGTTTAAAAAACAATATAAAGATAGTTTCAAATGCTGGAATTTCCTGTAGTTCAAGGTTCAAAAGACATGATCACCATCTTTCTACTTCCTTCTGAACCCTCATATACCAACCACATTTTTAAGGTATAAAAATGGAGTCTAATGAAGGTTTACTTTGTACTTTTTATTCCTGTACATCTAGGAGTAGATAACAGAAAAAATACTACTTTCATCAGCTCCATTTTTTTCATTACCTCCTGGTCTGATAATTTTCTCCTTTCCTCTCTCACATGAGTTATTCCTTATATATATCCTTGGTTTTAGCCTCTACACACAAGGAAATAGCTCTATACTAGCACTCTACCTTCTTCTAGCTGATAAAGTCTTTCAATACCAAAAAACACTTCTGCAATCCTAAAAAGTCAACTTCAATTTCATATGCATTCCTACATGGTTTCTCAAATTGTGGATCCTGACTACTCTAAAAACCCTGTATCTATTCAAAGATGTGCCTGCATTAGTGAAGGCCACAAAGAACCAACTATGTAGCATTATAGGAATTATATGTGTGCTTGCAACCAGAAGTTCTAAAAATTGTTTGTTCAATAACTTAAGACCACCGTCCCGAGTTCTGTTTTCAGTTTTCTAAGATCATGCCCCTTACATGCAATCAAGTGGATCTAGCTCTCTACTTATCACTGAAACTACTCTCTGGTCTTCCAAAACTCAAAAGGTTCCTCCGTCACAAGTGACAAAGCAAAGTGACCTCTGTCACTCATACAGCTTCCCCTCAAGGAGAGCAACCTCCTTTGGATGCTCTCAAAGTGCAGAATGTCTCCCTGACACTGTGGCACCCAGAGCTGCCCCAGCCCTCGAGGTGAGGCTGCCCCAGTGCAGAGCAGAGCAGGACAATCCCCTCCACTGCCTGGCTGGCCATGCTGTCCCTGATGTCCCCAGGACACGGGTGGCCCTCCTGGCTGCCAGGGCACTGCTGACCATGTTCAGCTTGCCACTGACCAGGATTCACCAGACCACTCCAGTGGAGATGTTTTCCAGTTTGTTCTTACATCCAGGGTTGCCCTGTCCCAGGTGGATTTTCTGCCTTTGAGGAAATCAACAGCCCTGTCTAATTTAGCATTGTCAACAAACTTACTCCAACACCTGCATCCAAGTCAATAAAGAGGTTGAAAAGCACCAGGCCTAAGATGAAGCCCTGTGGAACCCTCTAGGAGCAGGTCCCCAGCCTGATGCCACCCTGTTCACTGTAAGCCTCTGTGCCCACCTCATGAGCCAGTTACTCACCCATTATGTAATGTGTTATCCAACTGTGTGCCCGACATTTTCCCCAGAAGGATACTGTGAGAGACAGTACCAAAAACTTTACTGAAATCTAGAAAGATCACAGCAGCTGGTTTCTCTTGATCAAGTAGATGGGTCACCTTGTCATAAAAGGGAATTAAGTTTCTCAGGCAGGACCTTCTTCTCATGAATCCACCCTGGCTGTGATCTATGACTGCATCAATGATGCAGACCAAAGCAAAGAACTCATCTCTGCCTTGTCAATGTCCCCATTTGTGAGGTGATCATCCTCATCATGTAACAGGATCATGTTATTTCTGGACTGCCTTTTATTATTGACATATTTTTAAAAATTACTTCTTATGTCCCCCACAGTACTGGCCAGCTCCAAGTCTAACTGAGCTCTGGCCACATAAATTTCTTGTCTATCATGGAGAGTTGAATTTCTGTATTTCTCCCAGTAATCTGACTTTGCTTCCACTGGGCATATGCTTTCCTTTTTTGCCTTAGCTTCAGAAAAAGATCCCTGCTCAGCCAAGCCAGCCTAAGAATAACCTGTCAGCTTTGATCTCAGTGAACAAGCACTAAGTACCACAAAATAACAGATAAGTTCTTAAAAAAGAAATCAAGGGATATTAAGGGACCACCTCTGGGTCAACAAACTAATTTGCTAAGCTGCAAATCATTATATGGGGAAAGACAAGTGAGAAGAACATCCTCAAGCTTACCAGGTTCTTCTAAACTTATCCAAGCATCTGCCAAAATATATTTCTGACTTCATTAAAGAAAGATCCCTGCTAACAGCAGCAGTTTCTTCCAAACCATAAGCATACAACTGCTTTAAGAAACAGGATGCAACTATAAAGGCCTTGCTCTGACTCAGCATCATTGCTCTCCTCCTTAATTTTGAATTAATTAAGCTGTGCTCAGGTTTTTGTGCGTTTGGGTTTGTTTTTAACTAAAGATGATGCTTTCCAAATAATTTAGTGTTTCACTTGGATCAGAGGACTCAACATCTAGGAAAGAGAATGATGGGTAAGGTCAGAACAGACCACAGTGGGTCATCCGGTCCAGACCTGCTGCTTAAGCAAGGTCATCCTAGAGCACAGAGTATAGGATTGCATCCAGGTGGTTTTTGAATATTTCCAATGAGGGAGACTCCACAACCTCTCTAAGCAATCTGTTCCAGTGCACAGTCACCTACACAATAAAGAAGCTTCCCCTCATGTTCAGGTGGAACTTCCTGGGCATCAGTGGCTGCCCATTATCACTTGTCCTACTGCTTGGCACCACTAGAAAGAGCCTGGCTCCATTGCCTTGGCACCTTCCCTTCAGATAATTATAGACATTGATGAGGTCTCCTCTCTGTTGTCTCTTCTTGAGGCTGAACAGGCTCAGCTCCTTCTGCCTTTCCTCTTCAAATGCTCCAGTCCCCTCATCATCTTTGTAGCCTCTGCTTCCCCATTCCAGGATTTCCATGTCTCTCATGTTCTGAGGAGCCCAGAACTGGACACGGCACTCCAGGTGTGACCTCAGCAGGGCTGAGTACAGAGGCAGGATCACCTCCATGACCTGCTGGCAATGCTCTTCCCAATGCCCCCCAGGATACCATTGGCATTCTTGGTGGTCACAAGGACACACTGCTGGCTCATGGAGAGCTTCTTGTCCACCAGGACCCCCAGGTCCTTTTCCACAGAGCTGCCCCCCAGCAGGGCAGCCCCAGGTGCCTGAGGCTGTTCCTCCCCACGTGCAGGACTCTTCATTTGCCTTTGTCGACTTTCAGTTGGTTCTTCTCTGCTCATCTCTCCAACCTGCCGAGGTCCTTCTGAAGGGCTGCACAGCACTCCAGAACATTGGCCATTCCTCCCAGCGTTGTGTTCTCAGTGAATTTGCTGAGCAGGAATCTGCCCCTTCACACATGTCATCCAACTCTAAACAGTTCTGGGCCCAGTACCGAGCCTTGGGGACCACTGCCAGTGTCCCTGGATAGAACTACAGTGTCCCTGATAGAACTACATCTCCTGCCAGTAGAGGCAAGAATATTCCCTGCCTTTAGCCGTACCCCCTTGCAAAGCAGCGCTGCTCACGCTTTCCACTCCTCACTCCAGCAGCTCACAGCTGCCCCCGAGGCCGACAGCGCCCACATCGCGGCTGCCATAGCAGCCGGGGACAAACAGCGACAATCCGCGGGGTGTCCCACAGAAACCAGAGAGACACAGGGGTAGTCAGGCGGCCGCGAATACAGTAGATCATGAACAGGAGATTCCCCTTTCCTTTTCTTATATAGAGCTTTCAAGGCAACCAGCCCAACCAGGGAGTGCCCACTGGCACCCCCAGGAAACTCGGGGTGGAGCTGAGGGGCAGCGCGGCCCCCGGGCAGGAG